GGTGTGTGCCACCACACCCGGCAGTGGAGTCTTAGTCTTTTCTTTTGCACCTGCTTCCTTGTTGTCTGACTGCTGTCCTCGTCATATATATACACACACACATATAAATATATACACACATACACACATGTACCCACTGATGTACCCACTGCCAACCAAGTTTTTCCTTCCATCAACTAAAGGATCCCAGAATCCAGCTTCCCTCAGGCTAAAATACAATGACTATTAACTTCACAGATCTAGGGCATCGAAACACTACACAAGTCTCCTGTGTTGTCTCACAAACTGAGGCAGGAACAAAGGAGTGAATCACATGTGGGTCTGCCTTTTTCTTAAATACAATCTACTCAGCAGCACTCTCATGTCTGAGGTCTGGGAGAGGTTCTGTAGGTACAACATGGTGAATGACTTGATGGTCCCACCCCACCGTGGTAAGGAGGGAGTGATTGAGTGGGGACCAAGTAGCATCTCTCACAAAGTCTCTGTGGGCTCGGCTTCTAAACCTAGAAGAGAAGGAAGAAAAAATAAAATTTCGGGGCATGGTGAAGACAAGAAGAAAAAGTAGATGTAAGAAGAAAGAGACTCAATACATCCATAGTGCAACATTTTGCTGTATACACGTTTCATCATCTGTATGCCCTCATCACAGGAGAGTAGTGGAGTAATCCACAGTGGATGTCATCAGTCATTCAACCCAGTCCTCCATTTTCATAGATGAAGAAATGGTGGCCAGAATAAGGTAGTGATGTGGGTGGGCCAGAGTTAGGCAGCAAATTATGGCACTGAGGAAGTTTAACTCAGCTCTTCCAGCCTGAGCAGTTCCATTTCACATACCTGATTCTCTATCTGAAAAGCACAGGCTGCCCTATGGTAGGAGATGGCCGGAACACTAGACTCAGAAGTTCCACCCACCCCGCAATGGCCTCTTCTACCAGGGACACAGATGGGTTGTAAATCAGCTCTGGCTACAGACAGCAGCCTGCCTGCTTCCAGTCCCCAGTCCCCTCAGAAACAGATGGAGAATTGTCCCTCTTCTCCTGGAGAAAAAAAGAACCTGTTCATCTACTGCTCCCTCCCTGATTCCTGATCATAGGATTCTACTTCATACTTACACCTCAGAAAGGCTCGAGTCCAGCACAGCCAAGGAGCAGTCTTCACTGAGGGAGGCCAGGAAGGGAACACTAGGACAAGGCAGAGATGCATGTGAAGAGTAAAGTCCTTGGATTCCAGAACAAAAACTGACTGGGACCCACTCCAACCCCACTGCAAACACACCCAGAGGAGATGGCAGCCTGATCCCTACTTTGGGTTAAAGTCTGGCTATCTTATTATAAGTTCCAAGGAACTATGAAATGGATCAAAGCCCCTGGCAACTAATCAGTGTATCTGGGCCCCCTCTCTATTGCTTTAGCAGTAACCCAGGGACACAGGCTCTCCCAACTACACACCCCTAAAGCCCACAATATTAACCATTTTAGGTGCTGAGCAGGAATGAAACATTTCATCTAGCTTCATACTGACTGTACAATCCAAGCAAGGACTAGTCTCAAGAGAACCCTGATGCTCAGAAATTCTCAGCCAGAGCAATACCTGCCTGCCTTAAGGGACAAACTTGATCAGCTAATGCTTTGGCAACATACGCATGCCTCTCACTGTGCCCCCTCATATCTGCAGGGCCCTGTTGACAAGAACTACCTGTGTGGGGAAAACACCAGCCTGGTGACACACTGGGTGTGCACAGCTGAACTGAGGGCACAGCTTGCATTCTTCGTGTCCACAAGGGACACAGCCCCATTTTCGTCACCTGTAGAAAAGAAAAAGAGCATGTCACTGAGGTTAAGATCATGGGCTTTGGTGTTAGCCACACCTGGATTTGAATCATAGTTTCTACAGCACAGATAAATTAATCATTGACTATCAGTTTCTTCTTTTGCAAAGTAGGAACAATAAGTGGCTGGGTAGCTATGAAAATTAATGAAGTAGGGTTGATTTTAACCACAAACTGTCACCACGTGCACAGCCTCTTTACCACCATGGCACCACATCTACCCACAGTAGACCAGGTTCTGCATGTAACAAACCACTCACTTTGTGGTTCACTGACTTCTAGCCATGCTCAGAATAGGGAAGCTGGAACAACCAGGAATCACATACACTGAGAAAAAAAAAAAACCACCAAGTTCTCCAAAACTAAAACTAGCATAATTCATCACAATAGTGCTAAACTGTGCTGACAAAATTGAGCAGCAAGAACATGTGCACCATGGAGTTTGTTCTTTCACAGCCTCCCTCTTCCTAGAGTCAATGTGCAACCTGACATGCTGCCTTACCAAAGACAAAGACTTCACTTTGCTGAGGATGCCAAGCCAGGGAGGTAGGAAGGTAGCCAGAGGCACTGCAGCCTACAAAGGAGAAAAGGGAGGCTTGAAACAAAAATCAGGAGTAGTTTCTCAAATGATGTCAATCTAAACCCAGGGCGTACTTTTATTCAGCTCCCCAAACTCTGTAAAGGCCGTCGTGTCCACACCCTGGAACCTCATAGGAGGTTTATCCTTGAACCTACATTTATCCATCAGCCCTCTGCCCTTCTAGGCACAAGTCATAGGCAAGTTTCAAGCACGATGCTTGAGAACAATGCTAACCATTTCCCCTGCTTTACAAAATAAAATGCCAACCCAGGAACCAGCCCTTCCTTTCGGTATGCATTGCACAGAATGGAGTTAGCAGAGTTTCGGTGGGAAAGATTGTGACACTCTGTCAGTGACTGGGCGTGTAGCAGCTCTGCTTTGACTTTGGCCAAGAAAGCCTCTTCCATGTTAGTTCCCAGTACCACCCTCCCACCACTGGCTCTCAGACTCACTCATCTGTGATGCTGGCTTGGGACATCGGGTATCCCAGAGTAAAATTCTATTGTCCTAAAAGGAAGAACAGGACACAGCTTCACAATCCAAAGAAGTCACTGATGGCAGGTCTCCAAATCAGGAATTTCGGCCTATAGGCTCCAAGTATGATTGAGGAAGAAGCTATATCTCACCTCACTACATGAAAGAAACATGGAATCTTTGTGGGGAGAGGCAGCAACACAGGTAACCTGTCCCGCATGAGCTGTAAAGAGAAAGAAATACAACAGAGGGGGAGAGTGAGGATATAACAAGGCCAACCAAGATATAAAATCAAGGGGCAGGAGAAAGGGTGTGAGAAGCACGCCTGGTTTCATAATGCAATTTAACAACTTTTATGAGAGGCCATGAATTAAGGAAATCCAAGAGGAAAGATTGATAGAGCCATAAAATCTAAAAATGCTTGGGAGAAAGGATTAGTAAAGATAGCGAAGGAGTAATTAGAGGCTTGGTAATACTGAAGGAATCTGATGTAGGGGTTATATAATATTCTAGAAGAACAGTTTTCATACTAGAGTGCACATATCTGCAAACAGTACACAAAAACTTCTGAGGGACTTCTTGGCACTGAGAGTTTTAAACAAATAGATTTCTCTAATATTCTCTTTCCTAAAACTGCTCTGCATCTGTTTTCACAATCACCCTTCTTCCACTTTATACAGCCCAAATCTTCCCATGGCACAGGGCTCAGGTATATAAAAATCTAAGGGTCCAAACTAAGGCATAAAAGGAACTTTTCCCTAAAAGCCAAAAGCCAAAAAAAAAAGATTACCTGGGTAAAATCCAGTGGAGGGGATTGATCTTGTTTGAGTTACACCAAACACAAAAGCCTAGCTTTGCAATTTATCTATTTCTAATAATGAGAGCTAAAAATTGATAAAAGGTTGTCATATGAACACATCTAACAAGTTGACCTGAATTTACAAGTGAATTCAGACTTTTTTCTTACAGAAAGTAAAGCTTAACTTGGCCAACTACCTTAATAATGCAAATTGTTTTGTGCTATTTGGTAGACATTCTGATTAAATGCACTTATTTTGCTAATCCAAAATTTGACAAACATATCCTTATAGTAAGTACACAATAAATGATATGCCACAAATTACATTTGGGACTATTTAAATTTAAAATCTTTTGGAGAGCAATTTAAAAATGTATGAGGGTTTAGCTTTCTAATTCTTTTAAGAGGCCTACATGTAAAAAAGTTTGAAGATCACTGGCACACATTAAGTACAAGCTGTAAAACGCATCTCTAAGCAGACTTTCCAAGATAATCTGAATGTGCTCCTGGCCTGCCCTAAGGACTGAACCACTTGCCATAGTTCTTTCCTAGCCCTACCATCTACAGAAAGGCCAAAGGACAGTAAGTCAAAGGAGAAAATTTATTGCTCACTTGAAAAAAGCAAAGCTCTGAGACAAGCACCATGACAGCATATAAAAGATGAAGAACACATAGTTAGGTCATCTATCCTTAAAGGATTCAGAGTGCAGTATAGGGAAAAAGGCACAAACATGAAGAACTAATGAAGAAGTCTGAATGGGGAAAGTGCTGAAAAAAAGTACTAACTAGGAAAGTCAATGTCTAACAAAGAAAAGACAAGTATAACAGACTTTGGGCCCTGACATTTTAATATTATTGCTTGATAATTTGCAAGTAACCCTGAAGGTCCAGAATATGTATATGTTTTTATTTTATTTTGGCACAAACTGAGTCATGCACTTTGAAATTAGAAACAGTTGGGTAAAACATTCAGCTATTGAGAAAATCATAGTGATCACCCAACATATCAATAGTATAGCTACCCATTCTAGCCTGCCACGTTTGGTGGTGCATGCCAGTATTCCCAAAATTCTTGGAGGCTGAGGCTGGAGGATCCGGAGTTCCAGCCACCTTGGACAACTTAGCAAGACCCTATCTCAAAATGAAAGAAATATAAAGGGGCTAGAGATATAGCTCAGTGCAAAGGCCCTAGTTTCAACAACAAAAAAGCTCTAATCATTATTCTCATCAAGAGTTGCTACCAAAATAAAATATTAATACCGTTAATGAAGGCAAATGCAAAGCGGAACCTTGAAAAAGTTGTGGTACACCCCAGAAAAAGACCTTTTTCCTGACACAAGGTTTCACTGTATATATACCACAAGCTGGCCTCTAAGTCAAGATCTTCCTGCCTAAGCCTCCCATGTGCTGGGATTATAGGTATGCACCACACGGATCTTGAGAAATACAGTGGCACCTCAGTTCACATATTCATTTTTTCCTGTTAATTTTTTCCATGATTTTGGTTGCAAATGAAACTGGAGGAGAACCCAATCAAATTCACTGGTTAAATTCAATGTTGACCTTATGACAAAATTTGATTCAGTTCTCATCCAATTCAGTTCACAAAGAGAATCGTGGAATTAAATTCATGAACCAAGGTACCACTGGAGATATTTACTAAGTGGAGGTGAATATTCAAAAGCTCAAAAGTTTATTGAAATTCTCAGGACTTATCTTTGAGAAGGTCAAAGACATACTGTACCTGGGGAAAGCTATTATAGTACAAAATAACAGTAAAATGGCTCGAAAGCAGTGACAAGAAAATGGGATTTCAATCTGCAGATCACAAGAAACCGATGATGGACCAAAAGAGTCAGAAATTACAGGAGAAGAGATGAGTGCCACATGTGTGAGAGGTGAAGCCTGAGAGTAAACGAGGCCTTAGAAATGGACAAGAAGGGGACAGACAAAACAGAAAATGAAAAAGAAGTTGGTGACCAGCTTACAGCGGGGAAGCAGGAATGGAAGAAGATGGAACATGCAAGTCTTATACTGCCAAGAAGGTATGAGACCATCAAGAGAAATAAAGAAACTGAGACAAGGGGAGGAGTAGATACAGGAACCTGACTGAAGTTCCCAGAAAAACAAAAACAAAAAACCTTCAGGTAAAACATGGAACTGCTGCTCCTAACATGTGAAGTTTAAGGAGCCCAAAGAGAATAAAAACAAGACAGCTAAGGCCAAGACTAAAAAGAAAAGCATACTAACCTCTGTATGAGTTCAGTACAACCTGCTGAGCAAGGTCCCAAATCTTGATGCTAAGAAGCAAAAAGAAACAGAAAACAGACTTAATCTTGGCCTATCAACAGAAAATGTGTTCATACAAGAACTTCCTTTAACCATGACATGTCCCATGTCATTGTCACTTGGACTGCTGCTATGGCCTATTTACAAGGAATTGCCAAATCTCTAAGGCAACCCAACAGATATGCTATAATTTGTCATGAGGTGCTTATAATAAGCCTTACGTGTTATTTAATGAAGTTAAAAGGATAGTACAGACAACCAAAGGAAGTCTAGAGACAGAAGTGATGAGAACAGGGTCCTACCAGAAGTCTTTGCTACCACTGACAGCTTGTGTGCCGGAGCTCAGGACACTGACTGTAGACACAATGTCGTCGTGCTCATACTTGCAGAACTTGCTGACAATAAGTGTCTCATTCTCATCCAGCTCCCACAATTCAACAGCACCTGTTTGGGGATGAAGTGGGCCAGGTGAGGGAAGAGAAACACGAGCTAAGATTATACCAAGAGAGCAATTTACTTCTAAAACTCATGCAGCCCTTGTCAATAAACTAACAAAGTAAGTTATTCCTATAAAAGGGAAACCCACATCATTAGGGAATTTGGCTAATTTCTAGGCCATTTCACTTTATGCAGCCCTACTGTATTCCTAATAGCAGCCTAGACAATTACGTGGGGGAAAGCTCCTTTAAGGCAGCGAATGATGAAAAAACCTACAAAATTCCTTTTTCTGCTTCCAATTACAAAATCAGTTCCCAGGCAACAAGGATGATGTCTCCACAATCATCTGAGCACACACAATCCAGTGACTCTTTGCAATTATTCAGACACTAATGAGTAACTGCTGAATTACTTGGTAACACTCTCAGCTCTTCCAAGCACTGATTACAGGATGCTATGGATTGAGCCCAGTCTGATCTGTAACCAAGCTTCCCTTCTACAGAGGGGGGCCACGGAGGGAAGAGGAAAGTTACTCACCTGAATCAGAGGCCACTAGGATACCTCTGTCCCCCACCCAAGTGAGGTCAGCCACTCCGGCCTCCGTCTGGACTCCAGCGGAGCAGAAGCCTTCATTGGGTGCAGCACATGGGTCCTTGAAAAGCCAGAGGGAGCCGGCCCAGCAGCGGCCACTAAGGCTGGAGGCGGCAAGCAGAAGCGCCCCATCTACGAGAGGGTACAAGCTGTCAGCGCGAGAAGTGGAAGGGCTCGTCTCTATGGTGACCACACAGAACAGCCTACGGACCGGGTCTGGATCTGAGCTCGGGAAGATGGGGCTTAGTTCGGACAGCTCGGCAACGCGAGGTAGGGATCAGAGTGGCACGTGGGTCGAGGTGGGCTAGAGGGTCACTCCTGGGGAGGGGCGCCCCGGGGTCGGGCCAGGGAGCTCCCAGGCCGGGGATCTCGGCTCACCAGACCGGTACCGCGCAGCCTCCAGCTGCCGTTCCATACAGGCGGGCGCATTAGGAGGAAGGTTCCATTCGCGGGCCGCCGGCGGCACTAGAGGAGGCGGGGTTTCCTTGCGCATCTCCACGGTTCCAATTCCCACCTAATCTCAAACTGGACGTCTGCCCGATTCAGATCCAGCGACAGTTCCCACGAGGTGCACCTCTGAGCCTCCGCCCCTCTCTGGAGGCAACGGTAACTATTTCTCGCGAGAATTTCTGCTACGCTTCCAACCTGTTTCCGGTTTGCGGGCCACTTTTAACAAATTCTCAGTGCGCTTTGCCTCTTCTCGCGAGAGTAAAAAAAATAACTCCGGACTAGACTTGAAAGGGAGAGGACGAAGCTCTCTCTCGCGAGATTTGTCAGCGGCCATCTTGCTCTTGCCCCGACCAGATTCTCCGGTCGGGGTCACAGGGACACTAAAACCGTCTCCTGGACCTTTGCTGACCATGCTGTCCCGGGTGGTACTTTCTGCTACCGCTATAGCGGGTGAGTGGTGTAGACTCTGCCATAGGCTATGAAGGTGCTTGGAAAGAAGGGAATCTAGGGGGTAGAAGCGGGTACAGAAGGGCCCAATGACATTTGGACCTGTCTGTTAGGGAGTGATCAGTGCGTCTGAAGACAGCGCGGGATCTAGGGAGATGGGAAAGAGTGGAGTATGGTAGTAGGGATCGGCTTCCGCAGCGACAGGGGAAGGGACAAACTAGATTTTACCTTGACTTTGCTGACCTGTGCGTTTTACATCTCCAGCCCCCGGTCTGAAGAACGCAGCCCTCTTAGGACCAGGGTAAGTGTGAGGAGTGCATTGCTCCCTTTGGTTTTTCACCTCGTTTCATTCCTTGATTTGCTTCTCTTAGCTTTAGGCTAGAAGTTACCTTTCTTCGGAATTTGGGGAATTTGGGGAAGTTTAAAGCCTCAAACACTTATTCCTGTAACTGCCTGGAGCGTCCTCATATCATCTAATGACAAATATGTAAGGGGATAAGTGAAGTGCACTGCTAAACTAGAAACTGGCTTTCATGTCTTCTAAGTCCCTTCCCCTTGTGACCTTCAGCTACACATAGCTGCCACATGCAGTTATTAGGTTATGTACTAAAGGTTTTGTTAAATAAAACAGTGAAGCATGTTGTTCCGATGTCTCATGGATTCCTACTTTTTTACTGTACTGCCGAAATCATTTATTGGTTCTGTAAATATTTTTCTTACCGCTCTCATAACCAAGAATATAATGACTAAGTAAGTCTGAATACCTGAGTCGTGGAGCTCAAACTTGATCTAGGCATAGAATCAGCTATAAAGTAGTGGTTTAGAGTGCGGTCTCCAAAGAAGGTACAAAGATACCTGACTCCTTACCTCATTTTCCTCGTCTGCAAAATAGAAATGACAGTGATGTAGGAGAAAATACAGCTCCCAATCTGCTAGATGTCAGATGTGCTGAGTTTGTGTCCCTGAAATGGAAGAATGAATTCCAAAAGACAAAGAAGGTTCAGAGTAGGAAGGGTTTACTGGGGAATAGGAATAGTTCCAGAGAGACAGACAGGAAGGGTCCTGAATGGGTTGCCTCATGGCCTCGCAATTTAGAATTACTTATAGGCAAGTAGGGTACAAGAGTTGCATAGTTTTTTAGTGGTCACCTATCACAGGTGACTCTGGATTGAAAATGATCAATTGGAACTCAGGCTCTATATTCTAGTTCTTTCACTCAGTATTTACAATAAACTGGGAAGTAAGAAGAAATGGATTAATCTGCCTTATAACTTTCTTAGAATTCAGGATCTTAGTAGGGAGTGGCTGCATTCCATGCTGCCTAAGAAATTGCTTCTTTGTCCAAAGTTTTAGTTCTCTGTCCTTAATTTTTATGAGTATGGCTGGTCACCCCACTCTATCTCAGGCCTTTCTACTAGCTAGCTGCCTCATTCATGAGCTAACTAAATAAACTATCTCCTATAATAGTATGTTATGGGTTATCATAATTAAGAAACATAATTCCTGTAGGAAAAAAAACAGTGCTTTGTCCATAATGTGTACTTAGTACAGTGATGGTGAATCTTTTAGAGACTGCCCAAATTGCAACCCAAAACTCACTCATTTATTGCAAAATACCAACATGCCATTAAACCTGAACACTGAGGTTTTAGCTCAGAAAAAAAAAATACTCATACATTAACATCTTTTGTCTTAAAAAAAAAACAAAACACTTGTCATAGTTCACCACTACTGACTTAGTACATATTAGCAGCTGATAAAATAATTTTATGACATGTCATTTTTCTTTGCAATTTCTTTTTTTAGTTAAATTTAGTCCCAAGACTTAATTACCCTATACCTTGCAAAATAGCTATAATGTATATGTATTTGACTTGAGTATGCAGTAAAGTGAGATTATAATTGGCATCTTCCAATTTATCAAAAAAAAAGATTTCATACAAACACTAAAAAGTTAAGAGCCAGGGATATAGCTCAGTGGCACCGCACCTGCTTGGCAAGTGCGAGGTCCTGAGTTTGATCCCTAGTACCAGAAAAAAATGAGTTAAGAATAATAAAGAATCTAACAATATATGGTAGATATGAGGAACATGCTTGATTTTCTTTACACTCCATCTCCGTCATCAGGAAGGCTCTTTGTCCAGATTTTTAAAATTCTAACCACTTCTACTGTAGTATGAACTGTAACTAGCTTTCTCCTAGGCTGTTTCAATGGCCTGTTAACTAGTCTTGCATCCCTACTCTTGTCACAGCAGAGTACATTTTCACAGCAGCCAGGGGGATTATGTCAGTCTCTACCTAAAACCTTGAGAGCCCACATTCCTCTTGAAAAAATTCAAATAGCATAAGACAAACAACACAACATGATGAATTGATCCCACTCTACCTCTTGACCATTTCCTTCTATTCTCTTTTAAGTTATACTAGCCTTGCTGTACCTCTGCAAACTGCCAAGCTCATTCTTGCCTTAGGATCTTTACACTTGTTTCAAGTCATTGGCTCAAATGTCATTTAACCTACCAAGAGACCTCCTTGTTCCCTTGCTCTTTTGTTATTAATAGCATTTACAGCATCTGAAATTTTGTGTGGATGTACCTACACTTCTCACAACTCTCATGAGGATGTTGAACACTGAGACCTTGTTCATTGCTATGTTGCCATTATCTAGCATAAGTAAAAAAATCAAGTGTTTTGTTTATTAAATGAATGCATGTTAGCTCAAAATTGACACCTTTATAAAAGATATTCCTGAGATGTTCTAAAGCTTGATTTGATATGGCAGTCAGTAACTGAAAGGCATACTAGGCAGAAAGACCAGCATAAGACAAGTTTTTGTTTTTGAGAGACATAAGCAGTTCTGTATGGGTGAAGGTAGAATGGAGGAAGAGGAGGTCATAAAATGTAATGGTTACTAGGCCGGGTGTGGTGGCGCACGCCTGTAATCCCAGCACTCTGGAGGCTGAAGCAGGAGGATCGCTGTGAGTTCGAGACCAGCCTGGGCTACACAGTGAGTTCCAGGTCAGTCTTGACTACATAGTGAGACCCTGTCTCAAAAAACCAAAAAAAAAAATGTAATGGTTACTGAGCCAAGTATGCTATATTATTAAGTAGTTTGTTTTCTGCGGGTAGAAGAGAGCCTATTAAAGAGTTATCAAGTCAAATTTGCATTTTATAGACATTGATAGTAATATAAAGAGACTAGGCTTAAGGATTATATTTGACAAGAAGCAGAGATATCAAGTTTTGGATTGTAAGATGAGTAAGAAAGCCTTAATAAAAGTTTCAGCTAAGCCAGATGAGAGGATTTGCATCAGTGAGTTCTCTAGTTCATGATTTAAATCATTATTTCAGCCTGGGCAGTTTTGTCCTCAGGCAATATTTGCAATATCCAGAAACACTTTTGGTTAACACAGAGAAGCAGGGTGCTATTGATATCTGTTGTATAAAGGTCATAGGGATATTGCTTAAATGTATGGAACAATCTTCTATAATAAAAGAATTGCCAAGTCTAAAATGTCAATAGTGCTGGGGCTGAGAAACCTTTCAGTGAAGAAATCTTGAGGATGACTTTCAAATTCCAAAGCTTCAGATAATTGATGTAATAAAAAGCATTAATAATATTCAAAAGATAAACATGGTGCTGTGGGTGTAGCTCATAGCCATGAACAGAGAGGACATAATAGAGGCATGGGTGAAGATCAGCAGCACATAGTACATAAAAAAGCAGTTGTAGAAATATATTGGGATGTTCAGGCTAAAGACAATGGCCAATGGTATAACCAGCACCTCAAGAGCAATATCAACCAAGGCCAGGGAGACAGTGAAGTAGAAGGTGGTGTGGTCTGCAGGGTAAGATTCATCTTGATCATCCAGATGATGAGCACTACATACACTACAACAGCCCAGTGAAAGCCTCCATACTAGGTGATCTGAATCCGCAACAGGATATCAGTGTTGTTGAGTATCATGTTGTCCCAGAGGAGCCTCCCAGATACCAGGTTAGTCACAGGGATTCATAGGGGCCCCTGGGCTCTTGCCAGACGTCATAGTCTGAAACTCATAACTCATTCATTGCTTCTCTTTGCTGCGATGATCTCTTGCAGACGCTTTTTAGAAAGCACCCTTCGCAGAGCAGTTGCTTCCAGCCCTTTGTGGGCTCCTTGATACCTGGAGGACAGTTCAGTGTGGACTGAGTCTGAATAGTGAAAAAAGCCAAAGTTCTTGGCATAAAGAACCTTACAGTACAGCAGGCAAGTGACAGCTAACTACTTAACATAGAATTTTATCACATGTCAAACACCATTCTAAGAGCACTTTACATTAACTCAATCCTTACAACAGCCCTACAAAGTAATATGGTGTATTCCCATTTTATGTAGAGAAATCCGAGATTACAATAGTTTAAGAGGAAGGTGTTGGATTTTAACCCAGAGAATCTGGCTGCAGGGTCCATACTTTTTTAGTGTTATTAATAAAATGTTAGACAGATGATCTATAATATTTATAGAAGAGAGTCGCTGGAAGATTATATATGGCTTTGAGAGTCTGATTAAGTCATTGAACTTGTCACATCTGACCTTCCACTTCCTAGTTCATTCTTTTCCCATTATGACATGGGAAACTGCCTGAATCTTCATCTCTATTCATTGTTTTTGCCATTTGTTCATACATTGTCTTTTATTTGAAAAATAAGTCTTAAATGTGTACAATTGCTACCTGTAGGGTATTGCAGGCAACAAGGATCTTTCACACAGGGCAACCAAGACTTGCTCCTGTACCACCTCTTCCTGAATATGGCGGAAAAGTTCGTCTTGGGCTGATTCCTGAGGAATTCTTCCAGTTCCTTTATCCTAAAACTGGTGTGACAGGTGAGTGTTGCCCTGTCTCTATTTAATAGGACATTTGGATCATTTCACTAAAATCAACTCAGCTGTTTTGTAAAGGAAATTGTAGAAGTGATTTAGTGTAACAGTTGACCTGGTTGTTCTTGTCTTCTGGGATTTTAACTTAATTTTATGGCATTGTTACATCTTCTGATATACCAAATTTTTTGTATGCCTGCTTAGTGCCAGGTACTGTTTTAGGCATTATGTGGTGGGGTTGTCTATCTTAGGAAGTACATATGAAAATTCTAAAGGAATGTTTGTGTTCTAAATCCTAAGTCATGCTTTGTGTCTTCAGGACTCATGACCTGTTACAGAAAAAGATAAGTGTATTTGAAGCATTATAATTAAGGGTGTGGAAGTTGAGAATTCTGGTATTTAATCCTTTTTTTTACGTATTTATTACTTTATAGTTTTTTCTTCATTGTTTCCTGCGTCAGCTTCCTATTTATTAAAAATAGGTGAGGAGTAGAGAAATTTTGTCCCTTCTGATATTTCTCATTAGTGAGTAGTATATTTTGTAGGATGGGTTACTTCACAGAGTTACCTGGCATCTTTGTAGAGTAGCTGTGTTTGTTGAGCTATTGTAAATACTTTATAAACATTATTTCTCAGTTTCATCAACTGTGTGAAGATTCTGTTACCATTTGAGGAAACTAATTTCAAAGATTCTTTTGACTGCTATTTCTTATAAGTTGTAGAGTTAGGATATAGTTTCATTGAATCTGGATGTTAGTTCTTTCGCCTCTACCATATTGATTATCAGTCTGGTATTTTGTCTTTGAATCTGGTTATTTTAAACCATTTAACTTTGTTTTCAAATAGATATACAAGTGTCTGTATATATTCCACCTCTTAGGTGTTGCATATCAATTGACAAAATAACTTCTTTCTTCTTTTAGGACCCTATATGCTTGGAACTGGGCTTATCTTATATTTTCTGTCCAAAGAAATATATGTGATTACCCCAGAGACCATCTCTTCCATATCTGTAGTAGGGCTGATTATCTATGCAATTAAAAAATATGGTGCCACCTTTGCAGAATTTGTTGATAAAATCAATGCGGTAAGAATCATAAATTAAATTTCCTATTTTAGACTGTAGCAGAAATAGCAAAGCCATAGTGATAGTTTTCATATTATAAATGTTGGAGAATGAATACAGAATTCTGATTATAAGGTTACAACTAAGTGTCAATGTTAGTTACTAATTTGAAATAAATCTTTGTAAGTCAACTAGACCACATTTTTTTTTTTTTATACCGGGGATCGAACTCGGGTCCTTGTGCTTGCGATGCAGGCAGTGGAACCACTGAGCTAAATCCCTGGCCCTAGACCAGATTTTTAACAGATTCATTCAAGCTACTACAGTATTCTATGGACAGTTCTTTGTAAGGATTCATACAATCCTTTCAAATGTGTGTGTTTCTTTGCAGGTGTTTTACAAATAAATAGAATTTAAAGGAAGCATAAGTGAATCTATTTTTGCTACTTTTGGTGTTTTCACTGACCTTTATTGTTAATATAATTACAGCAAAAAATTGCCCAACTAGAAGAGGCAAAGCAAGCTTCCATGAAACAAATCCAGGATTCAATTGATTTGGAGAAGTCACAGCAGGCACTTGTTCAGAAGCGCCACTACCTTTTTGATGTCCAGAGGGTATGTTTCAATAGTTTCTACTCATTTTGTGTTTTTCAAAAGAAAAAAATCAGGGGCTGAGGATGTAGCTAAATGGTAGAACACTCGCCTAGCATGTACTAGGCCCTGGATTTACTAGTTTCCAGCCCTGCAAAAAGAACAATAGAGAAATGAAAGAAAGAAATAATCAGAGTCTTTATGAGGAAAGATTAAATTAGTTTGGGTATATTTTATTCAGAAAAAACAGATATGAGTAGAGACTGGCAGTTAAAGCTATTTAGACATTTAAACATTTTAGACATTTTCAAGTAGAAAAAGAATATTCTAAAATTAGAAATATTAGAAGTTGTAAAAATAAAAGTGTCATTAACTTATAGCTGATTAAGAAATGGCATCCACTAAAAAACGAGATAAACTTTGTATATATAAATATATATACTCTGTATAAATATAAATATACTCTATATAAATACAAATATACTATATACAAACACACACACACACTCTGTATATATGTAAATACTCTGTATTTTTTGTATTTTTTGTTTTTGTTTTTTGAGGCAAGGTCTCACTGTGTAGTCCAGGCTGACCTTGGACTCAGCCCAAGCCTGACTCAAACTCCCACATACTGAAATTACAGGAATGGGCCACCACACCTGGCTGTACTCTGTTTTTCATACACACTTGGTATAAAAAAATCTTGCTTAGCATATTTATTTACAAAGTCAGATATCTTACAGTCACAAAGCAAATTCAAATAGCAGTAGAATTTCTTATGTTCAAAGCATAGATTCTAAAACAGGAATATGTTCAATTATTTCATCATTTCAGTCCCATATTTTCTGCTTAATATTTAAAAGATGTTCTCATGTTGAAATTTTATACTATGGAAGTGCCTATGAAATGAAAAATGTGATGCTAAGAGTTAAGTACTATTGGAAATATTAAGGATCCAGGCCAGGCCATTATTCTCAGGGTGGTCTGAGAACCCCATGCATCAGAGTTGGTGTAGGTTTTTAGACTCATTCAATGGTGTATGGAATCAGAAACTCTGCTGGGTCTATCTAAAACTACATTCTTTTTAACAGAATTCATAAAGAATCTTACATGTATGAATGTTTAAAAATCTCAGAAAATGTTGAAAGTTTCTTTCTGTGCATATTGAGGTTACAGTTGGACAGTGCTTTTTGCATACTGCACACACATACAACCAAGCACAGCCAAGTATTTTCTGGTTTTTTGAAAACTAAATTAAAACATGTAGCTTTTTTTTTTAAGTCAAATGAAGTCACTTATGTTTTTATCTATTATTTAATAGGTAATTGTTGAGTTCTACCCGTGTGAATACTTGGTCATGGCTGGGTGCTTAGCAGAGAAAGAAACAAAATTTCTGCTTTTGTGGAGTTTACTTTCTAGCCTTTCATTGGGTGAAGGACAGAAAATGAATAGTCGAGATGTGAATGTCAGTGGGTAGAGAGTAATTGCTAAAAAAGACAGTAAAGCAAGAGACGGCAGGATGAGGGAGTGGCTGTGTTTTAGGGCAGTCAAGAAAGGCCTGTTGTGTGATATCTGAGCAGAGCCTTGAAAGAAGTAATAGAAACTAGATTTCTGGGGAAGTAATATTCCAGGCAAAGAAAAAAAAATGTGTTTAATCAGTATAATTCAGGAAAACTCAAGAGGCCAACATAGCTAAAGTATAATGTGTGAGGAAGAAATTAAAAGGAAGCAAAGAAGGTAGCCAAATCTCTCATTTTAAAAAAACACAATAGCATGAATGCTGTAGGTTTGTTATCACTGTCTCAGAGGCATCTGTAAACAGAGGAGTGACATAATCTCTCCTAGGTTTTGAAGGATCACTTGGAATACTTTGATGCTGTAACCTTCAGTTTTGTCTGCATTGGTGTGAGATCCCTTTGAGTCAGCCAAGTAGGGATCCTTAAGAGCGTGGTCTTTGTAGCTCAGCTCCCAGTATTCAGATCTTCACTTGGCAGTTTATTATTAACTGTGTAAACTTGAGCAAGTTCCTTAACTTCTGCTTCAGTTTCCTCTCTGTTAAATGAATATAATAGTGTCCGTCCTTTGATGTGGTTATAAGATTTAATTGCATTGATAGCAAATACAAGAATTATTAAAGTAAATATTTGCATACAAATGCAAAAACAAATACAATATATACAGCATTATTTGTAGCAGAAAAATTGGAAGCAACCTAATCTATTGCTAGAACTTGGATAAATGAATTAGAGAACATCAGTTTAGTGAAATTCAGTATAACTTAAAATTGAGGTGGGCCTGCATGCATATCATAATAAAGGTGATATATGTGTGCATGTACTTGTTATGTTATTACACATCTCTAGCAGAGAATACAAGAAATCCAGGAAAATGATAGCCAATGGTGGTGCTAGAGAATATATTTTTTAATGCCTATACTTGTAAATTTTTTTACCACATGCTGTTAGTTTTTTATCGTGTGTCTGTTACTTACTAAACAAAAGAATTTCACATAAAATAGGAGAAGTAGGACATTCTGAGAAAATTCTCAGAACAAAAAGTATTCCTTTAAACATGGAAGCAGTATTCATCTTTTCTTTTTTTTGTCCCAGAATAATATTGCTATGGCCTTGGAGGTTACTTACCGGGACCGACTACATAGAGTATATAAGGAGGTAAAGAGTCGCCTGGACTATCATATCTCTGTGCAGAATATGATGAATCGAAAGGAACAAGAGCACATGATAAACTGGGTGGAGAAACAAGTGGTGCAGAGCATCTCTGCACAGCAGGTACACAGTGTTTTATGGCTTCTAGAGTTGTACTGGTACGTCTGACAAGCATCTGCTAGTGCTTTTGAAGGAAGAATAGCTAAGAGTCTTTTGCTTAGAAATAGGGTATTCCTGGTTGATTTATTTTTGGATGTAGGTAATCTTAGATACTACATAAATGCTCTAAGAGCTTTCCCTTTTCTTCAGAGTCTAGTTAACAGAATATCCCACGTCATATGTCAAAACAGTGGAAAAGTCATTGGCCTATGTTCATGTTCCATCATTTGGGTAGTGCTAACCCAAATGTTTCTATATAAAACATAAAATAAACCTCTTCTGTTAGAAAACAGAAGAGTGATCTCTGTTCTCTGACCTCTTTCCAACTTTAATTCATCTGTCATGAACAGGAATATTTTCTCTTATTTGCTTAAATTAGTTTTTAAACTTCTGTCTTCATTTCTTTATGACTTAGTTTCTTCTGTTCCAGATACATAGCCTACTCAGGCATTTTTTAGCATTTTCTGTATAACCTATTCAGAATTTAAAAAATGGTTTATCCAAACTGCATGGATTGTTTTTATTTAATAAACTGTTTACATAAAAGTAATATATATGTATTTAGGTAACTTAGAAAACATCAAAAATTATGTAAAAAAAACTAACAGTTATGCTCATTCTTAATATTTTTATATCACTGCTGTTTGTTAAATTCATCTTTCTTCAAGGATCTATTAACTATACAAGCCAACAGCAAGAACAGAGGGTTATAGGAGTATTGGCTTCAAATTTTTTGTAGATTTCACCCACAAAAGCTATGAGCCAGGGAATTTTAACTCCCTGGGTTTGCTTCTAAAGTAAATTACATCACTTTGTTAAACAATTAATTTTCTTCCAAAGTTATCTCGTAGTCTTTACATATTAAGGCTCTGGCCTGGTAGGAGGTATCCTTTAGAATTACAGTATATAGATCCTTCAGTGTTATATAAAAGTCTAACCAGATTTCTTTCCTTATTGCAGGAAAAGGAGACAATTGCCAAGTGTATTGCAGATCTAAAGCTGCTTGCAAAGAAGGCTCAAGCACAGCCAATTATGTAAATGTATCTCTCCCAATTGAGAGCCAGAAACAGTTGACTAAATGGAAACTAGTCTTTGTGACTAAAACTTCCCGTATTGCTGTCTACTGAAATTACAGTTTACTTTTCCTAAAAAAGAAAAGCTTGGGGTTTCATTTAGTGAGAACTAAATCTATTGGCCAGTCAGCTATTCCTCATCATTACTCTGCATCTTGAGTTGTTCTATGATCACTTTTGAATAGCAATTTGTTTTTATTAAAACTTATCTAAATATTACCAAGTTATAGGTTAAATTTGTAATTAGTTCTATGATCTTGCAATAAAGGACAATTGAAACAAGATTTTTCCAGTTCTGTAATTCTCTGAAACAACATTTCAACATTTGTCATGAGTAAAAATAAAAAATAAAGTCATTGAGCTATTATCATACATTGAGCTCCATTCTGTGGTGAGCTACTTTTACCTGACTGATTGGTTATGGAAAATTCAAAGCTTTTAAGTACCCACCTGTTTAAAATAACCAAAGGAAACACTGTATGTCAAATCATTGAGTTAAACAATTTTAGTAGTATGCCTGTAGAAAATGTTAGACTATGTCATAAAAATCAATTTAAGAATCCAGTGTATAACTATTGGAAACACAGAAGAGGGCTGAATATGTAGTTTAGTGGAAGAGCATTTGCATGAGGCCTGGATTTAATCTAACACCATAAAAATAAATTGGGGCAAACACTATAAGCACACTTGTGGGGTTTATTCTCAGGCAAAACAACCAAAAAATAACTGTTAGGATATGGAAGAATTGAAATCCCTGTATACTATTTGGAAATGTAAGGTAATAAAGTCAATGTAAAAGTATGACCTTTCCTCAAAAAAAGAAACAACAGTATAATCTAGCAACTTCACTTCTAGGTATCTACTCAAAAGAATGAAAGATTCCAGATGTGATATACAACTTTAGTTATAGATACTTGGAAGGCTGAGGCTAGAAGATTCTTTGAGGCCAACATGGAAAACATAGCAAGAATGTCTCGAAAAATTGAAAGAGTTATGAAGAGACTTGTACACCATGTTCATACAGCATTGTTCACACTACAGTAAAATCATGACGTCGGGCATGGTGGCACATGCCTGTAATCCCAGCACTCAGGAGGCTGAGGCAGGAGGATGTGAGTTCAAGACCAGCCTGGGCTACATAGTTCCAGGTCAGTCTCTACATAGTGAGACCCTGTCTCAAAAAACCTTGGATTCCAGGTAACGTTCCATGAGTGTTCTGCAAGATGAGCAAGTATTTCTAATAATTTTAACTTAATAAGTGATGTCTTGCAATACAAGTAGGACATAACACCGACCATCACATGATCACAAATAAGCCAGTTTTTTTTTTGCTGTGGGATTGTGGGTGATCATTTCCTAAAAACAAGAGGTTATGCGGAGGAGATCGTGCCTGCAGAAGAAAAAGGCCAAGGAATCCTTCACTTCAAATGAGATCAGAGAGGTATGTAAATGTGGGAAACCAAATTTTGAAAAGTAGAAAAGCACCACCAAATAAAGCTATAGCAGTGTGAGCAATGAATCTGTTTAAGGACAATGCTGTGTCACCTTTCCATGAAATCCTCAAAATCAAGAGTCATGGATAGGTTCCTTGGTAAAGTTACACAAGACGATTCCTTTGAGCCAACAGATGGCAGTAATTCCATTAGTGATAGTGAAAATTGCCTTATACAATAACAAGATTATATCCTTTCTTCTCTCCCTCACACCAGCCACAAAGGTTTTGAAACAAGTATGAGTTAATTTTTTATTTGTATTTTCTTTATTATTTTGCATTATAGTAATTTTTTTTAATTTTTGTAATCATTTTATATGAATATTTTTGGGTTGTGGAATGAATCCATTATGGGGAAATTTGCTATGATATACAGGTGCTTTGGATTACAAGCATGTTTCCAGAATGAATTATGCTCTCAAGCCAAGGTTTTACTTAAAAACATGGAAGCAGCCTAAGTGTCCCTCAAGCCATATTGAATAAGGAAAAAGTATGAACCATACAGTGGAATATTATCTGACCTTATAAATGAAATTTTGACACATGATACCTCATGATCCTTGAAGATACTCTACTAAGTAAATTACATAAAAGGTAAATACTATACGAGGTATTTAGTAAAACATCAGAAAATAAAATGGTCACGAGGGAATAGGGAGTTGCTGTTTAAATGGGTCTAGAGTTTCAATTTTACAAGATCAGTTATAGTGATGGTTTGTTATGAATAGTTTTCAAAAATCACTGAAATGAATAATTAAAAATGGTCAAAATGTTAAGTGTTAGGTGTATTTTACCATAATAAAAATTGTAAAAAGAATCTAGCAAGTAAATCAGGAAATTCCCTCCATAGACTTGTCTATAATAAATTCTCTCATTCTTAACAAGGATTTACTTATACTTTAATGCACACCTTACTTAATGGTAAATATTTGAAAATACGCAGTATGTGGATAATTGCTATTTTCATTGGCTTTTTAAGATCTTAACATATGTAACAATTATTAGGGTCAATATTGATGGTTTACTTGAAAGCCACATGGCTTACATGAAAATCAGTCTGACATCTTTGTTACTTAAGAGATTTTGATTGGGTCCGAAGAGATATTCCAAATTACTTGTTTGCATATCATTATAAAGCACCTAGTTTGTGCTAAGCAATATACTGTCCTGATCATAGAGAGAGAAAAAATCCCTGCCTCAGAGTTAAAAATCTAAGAAGACATGAGAATATGTGATCCAGTATAGATTTCACTACAGAGTACTTTAAGAATGTGGCAAGCATCATGGTGTGATTGTTCTGTACAACCCCGAGTTCTTCATCACAAACACCTGGTCCAGAGTTAGAGGCTGAAGAATGAATGAGTCAGGAAGGACAAGAAGTTACACGGCTGCAATTTACAAACCAACAGACCACAGCATCTGAGCTACAGAGAGCTACTGTTTCACATCTTCTCTCCAGATCTTAACTCCGGAATCGTGGCTCACCCTAATCAGAACATTCAGGAAAGCAAATTCTGAAAAATGTAGTTCATTATAAACAACTTGACCCATAACCTTCACAATAACTAGCCTACCTCTATAAATGTTATTCTGAATGAGTAACATTTTAAAATTCCAGTCCTGATATCACTGGGAACCTGAGTCCTAATACTGCAAAGAACGAGTGACACTTGCTCCTCAGTTCTTTGTTTCTTCAATGAGGGATTTCAGACAAGATACATTAGTAGTCATATGGAATACAGAGAGTTTACTGCAAAATAATTGCCTTTTCAGAGCAATAGAATACACCTTCAAGCATGAAAGTGGGCAAGCACCAAGAAAGCAGTTGTGCCAAATGAGGTCTCAGGTTACATGTATATGATTAAATGGGCCTTTCAAGAAATCATCTCCTTCCTTTAAAGTCATTGTTCTTTTACAAGGAAAATGGGTTGTTTTGACTAAACAGAGGGAGACGTTTCTATTCTTTAGGTGGGATGTTTTCGTTTAGTTCGTCTTGAGACCTTGAGGTTTTTCCAACCCTTCAACCTTAGAACTTTGTATAGCCCCTGAACCGTACATACAGCATTGTCTGAGGAGGTCACGTACTCTTGACCAATGTTTGAAACCATAAGCTTGTTTGGGTCTTACTCATAGCTAATGATTAAGAAAATGAAGGAAAAAGGAAAAAACCGCTCACACTCATGTCTTCTTTGCTTTTCATGTAGTCCCAAGCTGCCTGTCTCCAGGCCAACTAATGTGTGACTTTCTGCCTAACATCAGGAAATCAATGAAAATATCCAGTTAAAATATGGAGAGAGTAGACAGTAGACACTCAGAAAGGAAATGTAGCTGAGCTGACATTTGGAAGAGGAAGCTAGCAGGGTCTTGCAGGGAGTAAAAGTTCAGGAAGATGGGGCAGCATTTGTGATTGTAGAGATGAGAGATTGTAGGTTTTTTTTTTTTTTTTAATTCTCAAGAAGTTAAGAATGAAGTAAATACTATGGAAGTATATTTAAATGCTGTACTTGGGCTGGGGATTTAGCTCTGTGGTTCTGCCGCCTGCCTCACAAGCACAAGGATCCTAGTTCAATCTTTGCTCTCAAAAAAAACAAAAAAACAAAAAAAAATCTAATAAATGCTGTACTTAGAAATTGGATTTTGTTCTAAGAACAGAGGGCAGTTAAGAATGAAGTAAATACTATGGAAGTATATTTAAATGCTGTACTTGGGCTGGGGATTTAGCTCTGTGGTTCTGCCGCCTGCCTCACAAGCACAAGGATCCTAGTTCAATCTTTGCTACCAAAAAAAACAAAAAAACAAAAAAAAATCTAATAAATGCTGTACTTAGAAATTGGATTTTGTTCTAAGAACAGAGGGCAATCACCAAATGACTTTGAGCAGAGGAGGAATAATGATTAGATTTTTTTTTCTGTTTTCCCCTTCCTCTCCACATCCCCTCTTTTTGCTGCATCAGATTCATTTCTTTATAAGTCCCCATAAAGTTAATTATAATACATACAGATTAATAGCCAGACTATCAGGCCAAAAAATATAGAAATAACACGTAAGACAATTATACTAAATCAAAATACACTTTTAGATACATCATCTGTTCTGGATTACAATGATGATTTTTTAAAAATCACTCGTGAGTACAGAGGACAGTTGGAAAGCAGCAAGATTGTTACGCTGTTAGATCATCCTAGCTAAGTGATGTTGAAGACCTTAATCAAAGGCCTTGGCAATATAGATGGAAAGGAAAAAAATTGATGAGAAATATTAAAAGCAACAGTAGTAGAAGAGGTGCCAGGAGACAACAGGAAAGAGGGGAAGCATAAAGTTGAGTCATGTTCCTTTCCTGAGCAAGCGGAAAAAGGGTGGTGCTATTCACTATGATATGGAATACAAAAGGAATTATGTTTTGGAAAAAAGAATAAAGCTAAATATAGAGTCACGAAAGAGCATCAGTGTTTGAGACGTGGCAGAGTAAAAAGATTATGCAGAAGAGGGAGTGGTCAGTCACTGGTAAGCCAGGAGAATAAAACCACAACAACTGAGAAAGCGAAGAACTTTGGGGAAGAACTGACAGGATTCAATTTCTCAGGGAGATTTAAGAGGAGGAATGAAAGTACTAATTCCTGTTAATAGCTTAAAGATCTTTGAAGGCCCTTCTTCAAGTGGTGGGTGTGTGGGTGTGTGTGTGTGTTTTTTAATGGTATAGAGGGAAGATAATGGGGAAGAAAAGGAAGTTTTTCAATGAGGGAACAGGAAGCTCGAACACTCATTTAGAAAAGGTGCACTATGGGATCGAGCACTACCAA